TAATAACCTTAGATCTATGTTTGTCTAATTATCATGCAAAGTTGAATTCTGAAGAGGCCTTTAGATCAATCGATATATCAAACAAAGACAATAAATAAGAACAAGAGAAATTCACGAAGAAAAACTTTCACTAAGAAAAATAATCTCACAAAGAGATTATCGTGTGCACAAAGCGACGATTAGGGTTTGTGAAAGCGTGCAAATTCACAAACCTGTACAAGATAATATATACTGTTATTCTAGACAATCCCTACAATTCAGGGATACGCTAGCTAATAACTCAAGATAACTAAGGAAACAGAATAAATACATGATTTGTTACAATGCACTGAATAAACTAAACTAATACAAACTGAGCAGTTACACGCTGGTGCTGATGCTGAGACATGTGCTGACGCTGAGTCTGTTTTAAAAATAATCATATTTCAAGGTTTGACCTTACAATCTCCCCCAATATGATGATGTTCAAAACAAACTAAATAAAGACACCTCTGGAAAGAAATTCTTCATACTCAGCTTCAGCTTCAATTTTAACTGGCCAGTAAGGACTGTCCAGCAATTCCTGTCTTCTGTTCAGCAGCTCCATGGCAATAAGAATGTGAAATTCTCCGGATAGATCTTGATGACTCATGCACATTTGCCTTAAGCCAACAAGGTGAGTGGTTGGAGCCTTTGGGATCTCAGTAGTTCGTTGAAAGCACATCCTCCTATTTTTGTCTAGATAGAACATCCCATGTTCAGGAGCTGAGATGAATTGATCCTGAACCGGATCAACACCTAGAGGAAGTGAATTGTTAATTACACCAGCACCAAAGTCTAGAACCAATACATCTTCACCATCAACACGAAACTTGGTTCTTCGAGATCTAGGGACTGACGACCTTTGGCCTTGATGTTGAGGTCGTTCTTTAGGAACAAGATCCAAACGCTAAACTTTCTTGATCAGCAGATGAAGAGCACAGGTCAGTTCTGAAGAGTGAGCTGAGGTTTGCTTGGATGCAAGATCGAGCAGTTTCATCCATTCCGAATACCCATATCTAATCAGCTCATCCCTCTTGACAACTTCAGTATATGAGTGCTGAGGACCTTGACGAGTGATCAACAACGTAAGGATTTTCTTGTTTCAAGGTTTAGAAGCTTTGACTTTGATGATCTTATCTCCACACATTCACCGATTAAAAACATCTTCAAATCTCTTTCGATCAATCCAGTCAAGAACATTGTAAATCTTAGGCTTGCTAGAGCTAGGAGGAGGATGAGAAGACTGAGCCATGGACTGAAATTCCAGGAACTTCTGCATCTGAGCTTCACAAGATCCCTTAGCTTGAAGTTTGTGCTGAATAAGAGATTCATCAGCTTGAGCAATGTTCTTTAGAAGCTGAGCTCGATTGGCTTTATCAAGAATTTGCTTGACTTGATCAGGGGACATGTTCCATTCAGTGGCAAGGTTTGAAATACTGACAATGGACTTGGGTTTCTTCACAGTTGAAGAAGTATCAGTTTGAGAATGATCCAAGTCAGTATCTGCTACCTTTCGCTTTCGAGACAACGGATGAAATTCTTCACTGGCAATGTCCGAATCCTCTCCTTGGACCGGAATGATGGGATCAGCAATAGGATCGGTTAATATCGGATGAGATTCTTCAAGGTCATCTAAGCTTTCTTGCTGAACTGAAAATGAGAGGATCAATGAAGTTCATGTCAAGAATTTGACAGTCATCATCAGGTTCATCTTGCTCTTCATCATTCTCACTTGTCTTCAACCAGCAGGTTCTGTGTCTTTCTCATTTGGTTCACCATCAGCATGAGCATTTGGTTCACCATCAGCATGATCATCAGCATCAGCATCATCATCAGTATCTCCCCCTTTTTGAGCATCATTAGATTTGGGACTAGAGGGAGGAGTAAGTAAGAGAACCTCCTTGATTTGTTGAACATCAACCTCAATACGAAGCAGACGCTGCCTTATGTACCGAGTCAGTGACATCAGTTCAGAAAATGCTGAAGCGGGAATTTGAACCATTGAGGTACCTGGGGCAACTGGAGAGCTAGGTTGCATCCTTGGAGAGAAGTGGTGAGCTGCTGGTGATGGATGCTCCCCCTGAGACTGATGCTCCCCCTGTGATGGTTGCCCCCCCAGAGGCATGGAATCCGGTGGTGCTGAGGAGGCTTTGCCAATGGCCGAGATGAGGTGATGAGAAAGTTGAGGGGAGAAATGGCCGCCATCATGATGTTCCACCTCTTGATCAGCATGATCCATATGATTACCATCAGCACCTCCTTCATCAGTGTTAGCGGTGAGAGAAGGCATAGTGTATGGATTGGCAATCCATTCTCTCATCCTATCGGAGATTCCAATGTCAGTATCCAAAGGATCATCCTGATACATACGAACGGACATTCGAGGGCATTGGATTGGATTCCCAGAGTGAGAAAAGTAGTCAGCAGCGAAGAATTTGTCGAACACCAGGGCAATCTAGCTTGGAAAGGGAACATGATCAGCACGCACATTTGCACGTAGAAGCTGAACAAGCTGATCAAAGAATAGTGCCCCATAATCTAATCTTTTGTTGAGAAGAAGGGAGCAGACGACTTGTTGCTCATAATTGCTCAATTGATCACCACTGCGAGACTTGTGACCCACACACTTGCATAAAGCACCAGTGAAAAACTTCCAGCCTGGGATCATGCACTAACGCAAAATAAGAGCTGATCGAGTACCAGCCTTTGAATGATCATAGCCCATTGATCAAATATTCGTTTACATCTTTCAATAGTTGGAGGTTCAGAAAAGGGTTCGAAAATTGGTAACCTTAAAGCAACACTGAGTAGTTCTGGTGATGAAGACAGAGTGTCTGCCATGACCAATGGTTCGGTGATGGCATTGTTTCTTCATTAACTGTTGCAGTATAGTAAAACTCACATACTTGTTCAGGGAAGAACTCGGACGGTACATCACTGATTGCATATCGGAGGCGGCAAGAAGCCAAGAAATTGACGAAATCATCGAGTCCAAGACCTCGATGAACCTCTGGAATGTCAGGGTTGAAGACGACATTGGTTGCCTTGATGTGAATTGGAAGTGGAGGAGAGTTTGGGGCAGGAACGACTCTTCGAGAGGTTGAGGAGTATGTGAACAGAGATGCCGCCATTGGAGAGTATATGAGAATTCTAGGGTTTTTGAGAAAAGTTCAAGGTTTTGGAAGGAAAAATTAAACCAAGGGAGAAAGAGGTTTAAATATGGAATGAAAAGGGTTTTTATTTTTTTAAAAAGGGAATAATTATCTTCATTAAAAAGGTGATGATTATCTTCATTAAGAATAACGGCGCATCGTAACAATCTGTTAGAATAGAAAATAGCCGTTGGATAAAAGAGCCGTTGACTGAAGGTGAAACGTCAATCAGTGTTTGCGGAAGCGCTGAGCTCAGTGTCACAAAAGTACGTGCTGAGAATATTTCTCGTCAATTCAAGGTACAACTTGCTTAATCGGGGCTAGCAAGGAGATTGGTGCGTGTGATAGATACTAGTTACATTATCTAACCATCGGCACAGAGTGTTGTGACTTCATCAGTGAGTGGTTTATCTTACTGAATCATTAGACACTGAATAAGAGGAGGGTAAAGAATGGATTGTTGCATGTGATAAACCTTGGTGTTTTGGTCTAACCATCGGCAAAGATTTTTAGACTCTCATCAGCGTGTGTTTTGGCACACTGAATCACAGAATCAGTGTAAGATTGGTGAGAAGGGGTAGTTGCATGTGATAAATCTTGGTGTTTTGATCTAACCATCGGCAAAGAGTTTCAAGTCATTATCAGTGTATGGTTTAATACAGTGAATCATTCAACTTTTGTTTAAAGACTTGAAGAAGAGATCAAGATAAGAAATCAAACCAAAGTGCTCAGTAGCAAATATCATCAGTATGTCATCATCAGCACAATGTACATCAGCTTATAAGACAATCTCAAACATTAGCACAATTAAACGTCAAAATTAATTACAAGGAAATCATTCCCAGTTCTCCGATAATGTAAGCAGTTGATTGAGAATCCAGTGCCTTTGTGAAGATATCAGCAAGTTGCTCCGAAGTCTTGACATGTTCAAGAACAACTTTTCCTTTTTCAACATTATCTCTGATGAAGTGATGTCTGATTTCAATATGCTTTGTCTTTGAGTGCTGAACAGGATTTTGTGTGATCTGAATGGCACTGGTGTTGTCACAATATATGGGAGTCTTTGAGAACTTGAACCCATAGTCGAGAAGCTGATTTTGAATCCATAAGAGCTGAGCACAACATCTCCCAGCGCAACATACTCAGCTTCTGCAGTTGAGATGGCTACTGATGTTTGTTTCTTGCTGGACCAGCTGATGAGACGATTGCCAAGGAAGTGACATCCACCAGATGTACTCTTTTTGTCTAAATTGCATCCAGCATAATCTGAGTCAGTGTATCCATAAAGTTCAAATGCTGAGTCACGAGGATACCACAGAGCAAGGTTTTGAGTTCCCTTCAAGTATCGAAAAATACGTTTGACAGCCATGAGGTGAGATTCTTTTGGATTAGCTTGGAATCGAGCACAGAGAATGGTTCCAAACATAATATCAGGACGACTTGCTGTGAGATATAAGAGGGATCCAATCATTCCTCGATACAGAGAGTGATTGACATCAGTTCCAGTTGGATCAGCGTGTATCTTATCAGTCTTAGACACTGGAGTAGAGGCTGGTTTGCAGTCACTGAGAGAATACTTAACAAGCAGGTCAGATATATATTTACTTTGACAAATGGAAATACCTGTCTTTTGTTGCTGAACTTCAAGACCTAAGAAAAAGGTCATCTTCCCCATCATGCTCATTTCGAACCTTTGAGACATGATCTCTGCAAATTCCTTGCTCAGTGTCTCATTTGGAGAGCCAAAAATGATGTCATCGACATAAATTTGAACAAGAACCATGTCTGAGCCTTTGTTTTTGATGAAGAGAGTATTGTCGATTGCTCCTCGTCTGTATCCATTTTCAAGCAGATACGATGTCAGCGTCTCATACCAAGCCCTGGGAGCTTGTTTCAGTCCATAAACAGCTTTGTCTAACCGGTACACGTAATCAGGATGATCTTTGTCCACAAAGCCTGGGGGCTGATTTAGGAATACTTCTTCTTCTAACACACCATGAAGGAATGCTGTTTTCACATCCATCTGATAGACAATGAAGTTCATGTAGGATGCGTATGCGAGAAACAGTCTGATAGCTTCAATGCGAGCAACTGGAGCAAAAGTTTCCCCGTAGTCGATGGATTCAATTTGAGTAAACCCTTGAGCTACAAGCCTTGCCTTGTTGCGAGTGATGATTCCATCTTTATCAACCTTGTTACGATAGACCCAGCGAGTTCCAGTGATAGTTTTCCCGGATGGTCTTGGGACAAGAGTCCAAACTTTGTGCCTTTCAAACTCATTCAGTTCTTCTTGCATGGCTTTGATCCAATCAGCATCTTGAAGAGCTGTGTGTACTTTATCAGGTAAGATCATTGAAACAAAGTTAACATACATGCAAAAGTTATTAAGTGCACTAGATCTGGTTCGGACACCATCATGAATATTCCCTATAATTCGATCAACAGGATGATCTCGATGTTCAATGACTGATGCTGATTCCGGAGAGATAGACACTGACACATTATCAGTTTCAGGAGAATCTTCAGCTTCAAGGGTTTCATCAGCACTTAATGAATTACCTGCTGATGTGGCTGCAATATCTTGATTCTCGAATGGACAAGAGAGAAGCTCTTGAAAGATAGAAGGAAAATGAGTGACTTTTTCAACAGTGTATGATTCCTCATCAAACTTCACATGAATGGATTCTTCAACACATTGCCTATTCACATGAAAAACACGAAAAGCCTTTGAAATAGATGAGTACCCAACAAAAATACCTTTATCAGCCTTAGGTTCAAACTTGGATCTTGGGTCACGCTGATTTAGAATATAACAAATGCATCCGAACACATGAAAAAAGGATACATCTGGTTTTCGATCTTTCAGCATTTCATATGGAGTCTTCTTGTGAATCCTGTGAATTAGAGATCGATTCTGAGTAAAACACGCTGTATTGACAGCTTCAGCCCAAAACGACATAGGAAGACCAGCATGGATCATCAAGGTTCTTCCTGCCTCAATCAGTGTTCTATTCCTTCGTTCAGCAACACATTTTGCTGAGGAGTACGAGGAGCTGAGAAGTTTTGTCCAATTCCTTTATTGTCACAAAATTCTTCAAGAGTTGAGTTTCGGAACTCAGTACCATGATCACTTCTTAGTTGCTTAACTTTAAGACCTGTCAGTGTCTCATTTTTACGAATCAGTGAGATAATTTCCTGTGCAGCATGACTTTTCTTCTTCAAGAAAACTACCCAAGTAAATCGAGTGAACTCATCAACGACCACTAGAGTATACTTATTTCCACCTAGTGAACGAAGGAATAGGTCCAAACAGGTCCATGTGGAGTAGATAAAGAGGGACTGATATACTGGAACATGACTTGGGTTTGAAAGAGGACTTGGTTTGTTTTCCTTGTTCACAAGCTGAGCACATCTTGTCTTTCACAACGCTGAATTTTGGGAGCCCTCTAACTAGGTCTTGATTGGATATCTTGGATAGATTCTTGAAGTTCAGATGAGAAAACCTTTTGTGCCAAATCCAGCTAAGATTCGTCTGAGACTTTGTAAAGAAACATTGCATCAGTGCCTTGTCACTTGAGAACATGTCAAGAACATATATAATCTTTTCTACTTGCTGAGAGTACGATGTTCTTGTCAGTGTTTACAACTCTTCCTTCCTTCTTTGTAAAGTGAACTTCATAGTCAGCATCACACAACTGACTGATAGAAATGAGGTTGTGTTTGAGACCCTTTACATATGAAACGTTTTGAAAAACCACGTTATTGCATTTGATGTTTCCATATCCCTTAGTGAACCCCTTTCCATTGTCTCCATAAGTAACTGCAGGACCAGTTTTTTAACATAATCTTCCAGGAGAGACTTTGATCCCGTCATATGCCTTGAGCAACCACTATCTAAATACCAAAGATGCTCCTGACCCTGCAGTACTGAGAAACTAGTTAGAACACACTGACCCATTCAAAGATGGGTCATTCACAAAGTTATTTGATAATAGATTATAACACTCCTTAGGAAGACAGTTTAAAGAGTTTGACTTAAGAGTCCATTTTTCATTTCTAACTTTAATATTTTCAGCTCTTGAGGATGATTTATCAAAAGAACATTCACTGATCTTGTGAGAGGAATTACCACATCTGTAACAAACTCTAGTACCAAAGTTCTTCTTGGTGAGCAAATTTTTTGATTTAACACATTTTGACATGTAAGATTCACCAAGAGAGCTTTGAGTCCTTTTGCTTATCATTGAGTCACGACTGAATTCAGTATCAGGAGGAGTTTGATCAGTGTTAGGTGATAAACTATCAGTATCTGATTTTGACTCATTCACAGATGGATTGCAATCAGGAAGTGCTTGAGTTGTTCATGAACAGCATGAAACACTCCATTTGAGATAGGAAAAGCAATAATATTCTCAGTTAGAGGGATTGGTCTAACAAGATGTGCAGGATAAGAGGTAGGATCAATTCCGGTAATTTCAACATTACACTCAGTGATACCATCAGAATTAGTAATGCAATATTCATCAATTAAACTTTGATTAATAAAAGAGTTACTGACAAACTTATTTTTAAAAACTTTTTCAGCTTCTGCAAAATTACCCCCAAGAATTTTCTCACAAGAATGTGGAATTTGAGCTGAAATAATATAATTAGCATTCTTATGAGATTTTGCCCAAGTGTGAAGCACAGTTTGTTCTTTGATCAAAAGATTTTTAACATCATCAATTTCAGCAGACAAAGATGAATTTGACAAACTAGTAATTCTAAGATTTTCCTGAGTGGACTCAATAATACTATTTTTCATGGATATATCAGTTTCAAGAAGATCAATTTGATTTTGCAAATTTCTTATGGTTTGATTCTTCTTAGAATTAATGACACCCAAATACTCAAACATTTTGATTTTTTCATTCATTGAATAGGAAACAAAGTTTTTAACCTGGTACATTGAAGAAGAGTCAATGTTGTGCTTCCTGGAATTTTCAGCATCAGACATATCAGTGTCAAAAGTACTTTTGTCTTTATCAGAAATAGTCGGGTCCTCCATTTTGACCATTAGACACTTGACTTCATCATCTGATGACTCTTCATCAGTTTTCCATTTTTCTTCTTCAGCTACAAGCACTTTATGTTCCAAGTTTTCAGCTTTCAGCTTCTCAATCAGCTTGTTGTACTTCTGCTTCCAGTATTCATCTGAGCCTTGTTTCTTTTGTTTACAATCCTTTGCAAAATGATCAGTGCTCCCACAGTTAAAGCACTGAGCCTTCTCTTTCTTATCAGCACCATGCCTTTTATCAGCTCCTGACCCTTTTGAGAACTTTCCACCCATCTTCTTTTGAAACTTTGAGAAGTTTCGACCTGATTTTTCAAAGGTCTTCACAATCAAGGCTGCACTTGCCACAACGTTTTCAAGATCATCAGTGTCAGTTTTAGATGAATCAGTATCTGAATCACTTTCAGTGTCTGAATCTGACACCAGCTTTTTGTTGGAGAACAAGGCTACAGAGGATTCACACTGAGAATCTTTCATCAGTTCCTTTCTTTGAAGCTTGGATTCTTCATAGTATCGAAGATTTCCATAGAGACTTTGTAAGTCCATAGAGTTGATCTTCTCACTATTTTTCAGCACATCAACATGATTCTCCCAACCTGCTTCAACTGATCTAGTCTCCGAAGATCATTAACAAGAGTATTGAATTTGTTAAAAGTTTGAGTCAAGGTTTCACCTTTCTTAGCAAAAAAATGTTCATACCTTCGATTAAGATCATTTATTTGAGTAGCCTTGACTTCTTCAGTTCCTTCAAAGGATACAGTCAGAGTATCCATTTTCTCTTTTGCTGAGATGCAATTTTGAACCAGCCCAAAGATGTTGTATGGCAGAGAGTAGCTGATTGCGGCACGAGCACGGACATCTAGACCATGTTTTCTCTTGTCATCTGCCGTCCAGTTTTCTTTGGGAGTTTTCTTCATAGTACCATCAGGAACATTATTTTTAAGAGGCTGATACATCGGAACATAAGGACCTTTTTCAACGATGTCCAGCATGTCTTCATCAACAGACTCTAAGGCATATAGAGCCTCTATTTTCCACATAGCAAAGTTCGTTTCATCGAAAGGAGGGATTTTAGCAGAAGTATGATTTGATGAGTTTGATGAAGAAGAAGATGAAGCCTGATTTGATGAGTTTGATGAAGAAGAAGATGAAGCCATTTGTTTGATAAAAGAAACCTGCTATGATACCAATTGAAGAGGCCTTTAGATCAATCGATATATCAAACAAAGACAATAAATAAGAACAAGAGAAATTCACGAAGAAAAACTTTCACTAAGAAAGATAATCTCACAAAGAGATTATCGTGTGCACAAAGCGACGATTAGGGTTTGTGAAAGCTTGCAAATTCACAAACATGTACAAGATAATATATACTGTTATTCTAGACAATCCCTACAATTCAGGGATACGCTAGCTAATAAATCAAGATAACTAAGGAAACAGAATAAATACATGATTTGTTACAATGCACTGAATAAACTAAACTAATACAAACTGAGCAGTTACACGCTGGTGCTGATGCTGAGACATGTGCTGACGCTGAGTCTGTTTTAAACATAATCATATTTCAAGGTTTGACCTTACAAATTCCAAGGCTATATTCCTATCTAGCATACATGGGGAACAATTTTAACTTGAATGATAGATATAATAACTTACCTTGTTATTGCTTGTGTTCCTTGAAACCTTATGAGCCTAGCACCCCAAGTGTGATGCTTCAAATGCTTCACACAACACCAAATGCTCTTGGAAAAACTTATGAGAGAATACACACTTCTTGAAATCGGCCAAGCCCTCTTGTTTCCTTAGTGTAGCCGATTTTGGTGGAGAATGAGATCCTTATATAGTGTTGACACATCTAGGGTTACACCATGTAAACCCTAATGTGTCATGACTCTTCATTTCCATGACCCATGGGTTTGTAACTCCCATGGAGCATCCTATGGGTGGAACCCAACTTGATAATCCATGGAGCCTCTTAGCCCACTATACAAGATATTGATGATTTACATAATCAACCCATATATTTAATTAGTTATCTTTTGATCACTTAATTAATTCTAAATTAATTCCTTATCAAACTAGTCAAATAATATTATTAATATATTAGAACTTATAATATATTAATAATCTCCAAGTGTTATTTCTCTCATTTAGTCTATCCAATTGCATGGTGCCATGCAACCCAAATGGACCATGCCGGGTCAGGTCAAGTACATACTAGAAATAGTTATGGACTTAGACACCTTATCCAACACATAACTTCTTGGTACTACGTTATCCTAGGGATTTTTTCATTATAACATCTAGGTATTATCTATTCCTAGACTATCGAGCATCATAACTCTTAGTCATAACATCATAGCTTACAATTAGGAATAACATCTATAGCTACTTTATCCTAAGGATTTAAGCTTTATAAAACAATTGATATTTATAGATATAAATATATTTATATAAATCCATTTGATAATCATATGCCCCCCCCTTTTTAAAACATTTAAAATAATGAAAATGGGGTCGTGAACTCACCCTAGTCGCGTGAGACCTTTGATGTAGGGTTTAATCATGCTCGGGACTCCGAGAATGCTCCAAAGGTAGCATCTTTGAGATAGAGAGTGAGTGATATTAATGGTGTGTAAATGAGCTCTTCTTTGTCCTCTATTTATAATCATGGATTTGGGATGTGCATGGCGAAAATATATATGTACTTCGAGCGTGATCATCGTGGCTCCATCCAGAGAATGACCACATGACATTTCCCAAATTGACCACATCGCTCGCAATTTACTCGAATCTAGTGTCAGGCGCATGACGGGAACAGGCACACACCTCACATGCATGAAAAGATTTTGTAAAAATCATAACTTTTTCATGCGAGCTCTGATCTAAGCCTTATTTATATCTATGTGATAATCTCAATGGGTATTATAACTCTCCTTTAGGTTGTTTTAGACGATTTTGACTTTCATTTTCATGCCTAACTAGGGTAAAAACAAATGATTATACACAAATCATATATCACTCACATGGATCCCATTTTTGGCAAAATGTGACCAAAAGTTTACATCTTAAGGAATACCATAAATCTCATTTTTGTACTTTTAGTCAAAACGCAACCAAACTCCAAGTACCGTTTTGACATATTCAGATTTAATTATGTGGTTGATTTCTATTTTTATAAATTTCATAACTCTTTTCTTTGGAGTCAGATTTTTACGAATAGTATATCATTGAGATCACATTAACGAGTAGTATCCAAGTATGTTAACCAGTTTAAGAAACGGTACAACTTTTCGGGCACTAATTTTTTAGCCTAATGGACGCTTTAACAAATAAATGTAATGGAATAGTTGATTTTTATTATCTCAATCAAATATTACAATACTAAGATATTATATCTATTTCCTTACTCTTTCCTAATGGTGATTAGTGACGGAAACCTCTTGGTTGTCACACCCCATAAATGTGCGCGATGCGCATCACTTTTCTTGGCTATAAATAGAGCTCTCCATATATGCTCCATTACCTAAACCCATACACATATTTTCTCTCGACTATTCTTTACTTTTAAGCTATTTTCCTTATATTTTTGTAATCCGACGAATCCCTGCGACCCCTGAGGTATCCAAATAGTATTAACCATCAAGTAGGACTCATTGAGTACATTCTGCCGACACCATTCTTTGGTTTTCGCAAGAAACTCCCTGTAAAGTAAGATACACTTACTTCATTCTAAGTGTAACTATATTTATGCTAATAGTGGTTTTTATGAATATATATATATATATATATATATATATATATATATATATATATATTTATGAGTAGTTCTAATATTAATCCTAATTAATCTAATTGCGGGTGAGGTGTCTAGAATGGTCATATTGACGTGGTTGTTGGATTTCAGAAAAGCTATATGCCAATATGATCATGTTTCCCAACTTTCCTGCTTGGTTGATCCTTATTTGATAGGACTATCATTGTTTAGTGGGATTAGTGATGGATGTAGCTTTCATTATTGAATTGTAGTCGGAAATGACAAGCTAGAGTATTATCGGATAATATCTATTACACACGTTACCCGTTATGCCAGAGGGATATCTGTCCATTGTCAAAGTACTTGTCTAGGTGAGATCATCTCACTATATTATGTATCTAGTATATATCCGTGTATGTTAGAATATATGA